AAAAACTCTGGTTAAAGGTTATTAAAAGCTTAAAAACAAACAAACAACTGGAAACACTCTCTTTGGTTTGGCTTTTTGCATATCACATCTGTTGACCTTTTCTACCTATTTCATTTTTTTTATTCAAAAGTAAGAAAATTGGCTCTCTCTTTATAAAAGATCAGCATTGTTTATTACTTTTTTTTTGGATAGTTATGTGTTATGACATGATGTAATAGGAACACAACAATTACATGTACAGCCTAACATATAGTGTAATAAAGAAACAAAAAAGAATTTAAGTTAGAGGATTATAGCAAATTAGAGATATATAGTAATTCTTAAAATCATATATATATAATTTTAACCTCTTTAGCACAGTTTAAAGTGTAGTTAGATTCTTAGTACAGGTTTAAAGTACTAATATCCTAAATGGTTATAAATAAGATAAGCTTCCTAACACTTTTTTTTTTTTTTTTTTCTTTCTATATCTCTTTTTAGTTTAGTTTAGTGTTTTTTTTCTTCTTTTACTTTTCTATGAGAAAGTGTTATTAGATTTGTAATACTCTATTGTAGAACAGTAGTTGAATGAGCCCCTCAGATTTTCTTTTTTCTTTAGAAATTAGGCAACTAGTATAGCAGATCACTTGTAAGTGCTCATAGAAGTAACTGCAAGATGTCAACTTAGCACATTAAGCCTAAAAATATTTGTTAGTATATAAACAAGAATCTTAATAAAGAGTATTAACAAGACTGCCAAAGTGAAAAAAAAAAATTTTGATTTGAACAGTATTCTTAAAAGAAACTTAAAAGAAAACAAACAAATTAAACTAACAGAAATCTTATAAAGAAATTTAGCAAAAAAGAAAAAAAAATATAGATTCAAAAGCATAAAAGGGCTAATACAAAAAAAAAAAAAACAACAATACAAAGCCTTATTTAAACTTTTAAAGAAGCTAAAGAGTTTATAACAATATAGACAAATGTAGCATAAAATAATTTCTTCGAAAATATATAGAAAAAATACTATAAAGCAGTTACTGACTAAAAAAAGACAAATGAAATTAGCTCAGCAGACAAAAAAAAGAAAGAAAGTATTTTAAAAAATAATAAAGTTAGCAATCTGATAAAAGAAGTAAATGAAGGCATTATAAAGAAGGATCAAAGCTGAACTATAAAAAAAAAAAAAGAGAAAATACAAAGTTTTTAGTTAGGTTTGGTTATAATTATATAGAAAAAAAAGTAAGACCATTCTTTTATGGTTTTAATGGCTAGCTTGGTATAGCCTTCTGGCCAAATTAACTTCTAGTCAGTACAGCAGACCACTTCTAGATATCTATAGAAGCAGCCAAAGGATGTTAAGCCAGAATTTAAGCTAACTTTATACAAAATCATATATATAAGACTCTTAATAAAGCTAATTAGCAAGGCTGTCAAAGTTAAAAAAAAATAGTAGTAAACAAGAAACAAAAATAATATAAAATAACAAATCAAGGATATGATTATAACAAACAAAGAAAACTTATACTTTATTAAACCAAAATATTCAGAGTGTGGGTCCTATAGCTTAGGGTTAAGCTCCTATACCCTCCACAGTCAAGGTCAACAGTTCAAGTCCGGCTGGAGGCAAAATTGAAAGATTTTAGCTTCTGTAACCTAATAAGGAGCCTGTAATTGAATACGAAGCCCTGTGGTTAAGTCCAAGTGCAGTACAATGACGAAAATAGGAATTCCCGGAAGGAGACCCAATTGTGGAGTGCAAGCACTATGCATAACAAGCAGTTGTTACAGAAGGTTACGGTTATGGAAAGATTGCGCATATAAGTTCTTTAGGCTAGGGCAACATCAACATCCTTATACCTCTCAATATAGGCAGTACCAACATCCCTGCATCCAACTTGTGTGATACTTGCTTGGAAGAATAATCAATGGATTGTGCAAGTAAGTCTTAATTGGGATCCAAGGAGAAGATTTGATTGAGAGAGTAGTCTAACAAGTAACCAAAAACTGGAATGGTAAGAGAAGCGATGAATACGAGGACGGACTGTGATAAAGGATTGGTCTAACCAAAATTGGAAGCACCCTGGCACAGCCGAATAATCTAATTATAGAAAGGAAGATCTTGGAGGTAGGCGTATAACCTCCTTGTGCAATGTAAAAGTACCAAATCAGGTTCTGATCGTACCTATATGGAAGTCTATGACGAACAAGACTAGGGATCAACCAACCAATGTGAGATAAGATCTGCAAGGTAGTATGGCATTACTGGGGTCGGTGTAACTCCCTGGGCATAATTAGAATTGTCCTGCAGGTATTGTCGAATAAGCTGGGAGCTTGCAATATATGGTAGTATGGTATCACTAAGGTCGGAGGAACTCTCTAGATATAACCAGAATTGTCCTGTTTGTAAGTGCAACAAGTCCCAGTCTCTACCATAAAAGGAAGCACCATGTTGAAGATTAAATGCAGCATCAAGTTACTGTATGATGTTAAGACCTAGGGCATCTGTAGGAACAATGGCAGCAGGTTTGGCTTGAGATACGGATTGGTCAAAAGACCAATGGCGATAGCAAATCTGACTTGAGATATGGGTTTATTGTAGATCCTAAACCATTGTCAGAACATCTTAGGGGAATCAATAACAGACAAACCAAAAATGAGAAGATTATAAAGATTAGACATACCTGAGTAGGATCAATTTGGGAGTGATACAGTAACGAAAAGATGGAAAATGTAGGGAACAAGGTAATACTAGATATAATAAGATTAGAAGACAAAAGAAACAAGACCAGGTAAAACATGTAAGTGGGACATATGGGTACAATTTACAGAAAACAATACCCCTGGCATTTGGGATGCCGCATTAAGTTCGGTAGGTATCTTTGTCTGTGTAGTGGTTTAATGTGTACCATGACCACAAATGGTTGCCAAGGTAACTGCATATAGACATGTAGTAGACATGCACTTAGGTGCCATAAGGGTAACTAGGTGAAGTCAGTGATGTTAAATTAGATAGTATATAGTACTAATAATAATCGATTCTAAAATGTAACCACAAATTTGTATTATATCAAATTAAGACTAATAAAAACCAACTGGTATTGTCACCAAAGTTTTAAAAAAAAAAAATAGGATTGAAATCAGAAAGTTTAAATAGGGATTCATAGGCAGATCTTAGGTATGACAGCTAGTGGGTAACCTTTGGGTAGAACTCTTAATTAGATAATGACTAAAGTTATATGTATAACTAGTTGTACTTTCTTTATAAACTTTGTATATAATTGTAATAATGATATATTGCCCAATAAAGACAGACAGGCAAGATTGCCACTTTAATAAAAAAAACAAACAATAATTCAATTATTAATTCTTTATTTTACTTTTTACTTGTAAATTTGATTCATTTTCTTTAAATTTTTATGTTTTTATTATTACTTTTTATACAATTTTATTATTTTTAGTAATATTAATATACAATTATAAATTTTTATTACTTGTCTATTTAGGTTAACTGTTTCAGACTACAAATTATAAAGACTAACTTTAATAGGTATAATCTAAAAAATATAAATATTCTTTTTGGTTTCATAATATTACCATTCTTATATAATCTCACTTTTCATGACAATTCTGCGGTGACTGTAACACTTTCTGCATTTGTAACCCTATTCCGAGATTTCGTGCAACGCAGAAAATCATCGTCCCTGATGCAAATGGAAATAACGAATGTTACGTATCGTGTGATATGATCATGTGAATTTTTTTGTGATATTTTTGCCATAAAATGAAATATTCATTTATGCAAAATATCATGACAAAATATTTCACATGCTAATATAATACAAACGATAACATCATACGGAAAATTTTTTTCGTGGAATTAATGCCACTCATGCAGCGCATGGAAGTGACATTAGCTCTGATGAAAAAATGCCCTGTTGTTTTTCATCGTATGACCAATATCTTAATCCTTTTAACTTTGACCAATCAGAGCTTTTAGTGATTAGCCAATCAAACCAAATTTCTATCTTGCTCAGTGAGTTCTTTGTTCACTACGTAAATAGTCATCTGATATATTTTGTAAATACAAATATTTCCTTTTTAGTTTCTTCAATGAGTTTTTAATGGCAAAAAAATAATAATCTCGATTCACCGAATGGTACGTAGACTCAACAAATTCATTCTTAATAATGAATTTTTATTGTTTATTTTTTATTTTGACGGAATGAAAATATTTTAAAAATTTCGGGATAATATTTTTTTTTCTCACGTTTTTCGATTTTATAATTTCATTTGTAATTATTATCATTATGAAAATAAATTTAGGAATTTTATAAAAGCACGGATACGGACGGATATCAATATAACGATAACGATAGATAAATTGATAAATAGATTATTCCTTTATTAGGATAAAATACAATTTTATATTACATAAGGATTAAACTATATTAGTAACGATGTGAATGAAAAAGTTTCAATAATAACAACAATAATAATAAACATCGATATCTAATACAATTTCATATCAATCAAAAATACATACATAGCCTAAAATTACAAATCTTATATAGAGATTCTTTTTACAATTATTGTATGCAATACAATAATAATATATATATAAATATAAAATAGGATATAAAATAATATACTACGAACATACGAAGAATTTGATTAGATATATATACGAATTTGATTGAGTAATATATGAACTTGATTAATTAATATATGAATTTGATTAAGTAATATATGAATTTGGTTAACAAAACTAACATTAGAATGTTCAATATGGATAATTTCCTTTTGATTGTTTTTTACTTCTTGTTGAGCTAATAATTGAGCTTGTACATCCAAAAGACCACGATCTTGCATTTTACTTTCTAAAATTTTCTTTGATTGTGAAAGTTGTTCACATTTTCCAGCAATTTCTTCAAGTTCATCATTTAATTCTTTAACTTCATCTTCAAGATCTATCTCTCTTTGACGTGTTTGTTTCAAAATTTCTTCTTTATCAATGACTAGTGAACGTTCATTTTGTAATAATTCTTCAAGATTTACTTTTTCAGTTTCAAGTTGAGAATTTAAAGTTTCCAATTTTCTCCTAGCTTTAGATTCTTGAATTAATTTTTCTTCTAATTCACGTATTTTATCATCTCTAAGTCGAATTTGTCGTTGTAATTCATCAACTTTAGTACAATTTAAGGTTGGTCTGATCTTTAAAAAAAGTTTCCACCAAGGGTTCGCTTTTAATGAATTAAGTGCTCTGATATTTTTTTGTATAATAATAGCAGCGCGAAGTCTTTCATTACGTTTTACATGAGCTTTTCGTGCAAGCCAACCTCTACAATGAGCTTGAAAATCGCTGAATAGTTGAGAAAGTTTTGTGTCTCGGATTTCTTCTAATTCTGCTAACTGATGTAAACAAAAAAAAATAAAATAAATAATAATAATAATAATAATAATAATAATAATAATGAAATGAAATAATAATAATAATAATAATAATAATGATAGTGTATTTTAAATATTGCACGAGATTTTATTTTTAAATATTAAGAAAATTATAAACATACCACACCAGCCCGAAAGAAAATTTTACTTGATCCTATACGATATTGAGAAGTATCCAATTTAAAAGCATCCAAAAGTTTTTCAGCAGCAACTTTATTATCAATGAAACCTTTAGGAATAATTCCAGAAGTTAAAATTTCATATCTACGACGAAATTCATTAAAGGATAATCGATTTGGGAATCCAGCACGACAAATACGAATTCCTTCTAAAACACCATTACAACGTAATTGATCAAGAACTAAAGGAACATCAATTTTTCCAGGACATTTTTCTTCATTAGGAATAATACAACGTACAAAATGAGGATGAGTTGAATAAAGTTGTTGCATTAAAGAATGTAATTGTTCTTTATGATGACGACCAACTGTTCTGAAAACACCACGTTTAACTCTATTCTTTTTATCATTATCAGTTATATCACCAAGATAATCAGAAAAAAGTGAAGCAATATATTGATTAGAGGATCGAGCCAATAATTTTGTAATATTTTCATTAAGAGGATCTTTATTTTTATCAAGCCATCCAGATGTTTTATACTCTACTTTGGCGGCATAATGTTGTAGAATGAAGCCCTGTTGAAAACGAGGAACTTGATATTTTGGAGATTTATCCTTCCAAAAACTATGCAATTTCTCGACGAATGTTTTATCAGTAGCTTTCGGCATTACACATTCTTCATCAAGACAAGATAAAATACCGACAGGCTAAACAGTCATCAAAATTAATAACACTAATTAATATTAATTAATAGATAGCATTAATGATAACATTAACGATAACATTAATGATAACACTAATGATTACTAATGATAACATTAATGATAGCATTAATGGTTATCAAATGAATGAAATGTCACAAAGTAGCGAGAACATACATTGGCTTTATCTATTAGGTCAATTGTTGGCTGTAAATCCAAGCCAAAATCAATGAATTTCCATTCAATACCTTCAAGCTTATATTCTTCTTGCTCCAAAACAAACATATGATGATTAAAGAATTGTTGAAGTTTTTCATTTGTATAATTTATACATAATTGTTCAAAGCTATTGACCTTTAAAAAAAAAAAGAAAGAAATTAAAAAGAAATTAAAAAGAAAAAATTATTAAGAAGGTATAAATATTTACTTTGAAAATTTCAAATCCGGCAATATCCAAAACTCCAATGAAATAAGAACTATTCTTAGGTCTGTATATAGCCTTATTTATTCGATCAACTAAAGCAAAAAAACTTCGTTCGTATAAAGATTTTGCAAGAGCTTCAATAGAATAAAGAACTTGTTCCTTAGTTCTTGCTTGAGTAACCCATTCTCTACCAGCTTTGACTTGAGGATTAAGAAGACCTTTTGTAAATTCCGCAATAGGTATACCCAATAAATTACAAACATTTTCAGAAGAAGAAGTTTCGTAAATTTGAGCTTGATCGTTTCTACTTGAAGCTACTTCAATATTTCCGAGATGTAATACCGCAGAAACCACTCGAAATAGATCACTTTGTTCATTTTCTGAAATACCAACTACATTCATAGCATCCTATATTTAATTAATTTTAATTAATTTTAATCAATGTTAATTAATATTAATTACTATTAATTAATATTAATTATTGTTTGTTAATTAATATTAATTACTGTTAATTATCGATAGGAAAAAAAAACAATTTTTGATGAAGAGATATGGAGTTACTTACGACAAGAGTCTGGTATTCTGTGGAATCATTGACACCTTCAATGTCTTTTAATGAATTTTTAGTGAATCTATAATCATTTAAAGATCCATCCAGGAGTAATTCACCTTTATAAAACGAAAATTTAATGAACAAAAAACAAAAGAGAAGGTTACTTATTATATTTATTTTTGTAAATAAATAGAAGAAATAATAATGGAAAACGCACTTTTCAGTTGAGGCGAAGCACCTCTTAATAATTGATAAAAGATGTGAAAATTACGTTCTTCTGGGGTTTGATAAGTTACACGAGACTTTTCAAACAGATAACGTTCAATATTAGCACCCACGATTTGACCAGATGAATTAAATTCAATACGAATAAATTTTCCCTTGTAAAATTGAATAAATTCTTAGTAACAACAACAATAATAAATAATAATAATAATAATAATAATAAATAAATTTTAATAATGCTCACAAATCGCGAAGAATTATTATTCCGAATGGTCAATGCATTTCCAAAAGCTTCAAGTATAGGATTTGTTTGAAGGATTTGTGATTCGAGTTTACCAAGCATTTTCGTGTTAGAACTATCACCGGCACTATCACCGGCAATTGCAGCGATATATTGTATGACCCGTTTTGTGTTTTCAGTTTTTCCAGCACCGGATTCACCACTAAATACATCAAAATTTGGTTAATAATAAGAATAAAGATTAATGCGTAACACATCATATACGTTGTATACGAGAGAATATTCACGTAATTAATATGGATTGATTTTCGCGTTCTTGTAGCATTTCATTATACGCAGAATCCGCGATTGCATATATATGAGGAGGCATTTCATGATGCCGCTTGCTCTTGTAATATCGAATTATTTCATCGGTATAAATCGGAAATTTTTGATAAGGATTAACGGCGACCAAAAAGAGTCCGGAGTACGTCTATAACATTCATTTACATAATTTGCATAATTTATATATATAATTTATATATAATTTATATAGTTTATAAAATAATTTACGTAATTATGTGATAATTTATATAATTTACACAATTAATATGATTTAGTTTTATGTGAAGATGATTTTTATATGTTACTTACATATATCAAGTTAGAAAGATATCTTAGTCGAAGATTATGAATAACAGAAGCCTCATTTAGATAAGTTAGATCAGCCATATCTTCCACCTTATCAAATTTAGGTGGATTCATTTTATCAGTTTCGTTAACATTAACTATTCGTATCTTTAGACAGAAACAACAAGATTATTGTTTAAATAATTAGATAATTTAAATAAAGAAATCCCATATGAAAATCTATATATTCCAATGAGGAATTGAATAACAAATTTACCGAATCATCATTCAAGTGGACTTCCACTTGTTCTCCCATATCCTTAGTTATGTAACCTGCGACATAACCCGCTTTTTTATCCTCGACCCAGATCCACTTTTTTTCATTAAAAGTGGCCTGGGCAACGGTATTATTAACATCTGCGTCACAAGAACCATTAAAAAGAAGTCGAAGAGCTTCTCCACCGGGTGAATGAATCAAAGAATTTTTTCTGGTATTTTTGATCGTTAACATCGTTATGAGGTTAGAAACGGATGGCCGTAGTATACACAACTTAAGGAATTAATTGGGAGAAAAGAAATAAAAAGAACATAGGAAGAGAAATGACACTATATTTATTATAATTAATTTTGGGAAAAAGGGGTATCGTCAAATTTGACTAGATTGGCCTTACAAACTCGGTGTTAGATCATGCAGTCAGGGACCTCTGTTGAATGGATCGGTAGTAACCTATCGAACAAAGCTTATTATTCATTTCAATAACCAAAATTTGGGAACATATATTTTTTACAATACCAGTATCAGTAATTTCACGACAGTAGTATCACATGATTAAAGTTCCCAATCGATTTTTGGATGTTGATGTCTTTTGTGTAATTAATGTTTCTCCATATAATAAACTTCTCATGAATAAAATTAGAGTAGCGTAGCGAATTCTTAATTACGTAACGTTACGAAAAATATAAGTGAAATTAAATCCCTGAAAAATCTACGTAAATGGCTCCTTGTACCATATCATTTGACCATTTATTTCAATGATGGTTACATTACTATTTATAGAATTCTCCGTTTTATGCATTCTATTGCAGAAGTTAAAAATTCTTTAATAGATCCAAGAAATATGTAATGTATGATACTATTTTATTTTTTTGTTTGTAGGGTTTGATCTCGAAAGGTGATACTGAAAAAGGTTACCTTGGCATACAGTATAAATTCATGGTTTTTATTCCTTTAATGTCATCATAATAATCATTCTGTGAATACCCAATACATCAACAATAATTGAAATTGTAAATTAAAAAAGCATCATACAATATTATTAATATCTTTCATAATGATTATCACTAAAAAGATTTATAAAGATACAATAGATGAGACGAAAGAATTATTATTTGTTTTTTTCTTGATGCTTACCATATGATAAAAAAAAATTAAAACGGTTTGTGAACCCTATTAAATATGTACTACTGATGTCTTCTATTCTTTTATTCGAATGTAACTCATATACCAATTCATTGTTTTCAAGTACTGAATTATAGATTTGTTTAAGAATGGAAATTGTATAAGTACAGATTTATTAATATCATATTCGGCAAATATTCGCATCAACCTTCCGAATAATTATTCTGCAAATAACGTGAATAAATACATTTTAAATCATATGAAGTCTCTAGCACTACTTACTGCATCGCATTTAATTATTCGAATAAATTATCGTTTATTTGTAGAAAGAATATTGATCATTCGATGAATATTCGAACGGATATATTGGCCTGAACAATTCGAATATTATTCAAATAGTGAAAATCGATAATGTCTGGTCTTCTGTCACAATTTGGGTGTCGTCAGAAGAAAACCAGGAATTTCGATTTTTGCCAGCACCGCTTTCTGATCGACTTTTGATAGATTTTAAATTACAGTTTTCGGGGTTTGATCTGTGAAATTAATTTTGGAAACCCACAGTTCCTGGTTTTCGCTTGGCGACACCCATTTACAATTTATAATCTCTAACTACAGTATTTTATTAATAGATATCACAACAAAGTTTAAAGTTATTAACATTAGAGTAACATCATTTATTAAAATCCTTTATATTTCGTTGATTTTCTGTACATTTCTTTTCTGACATGCAGATGATTTATATAACTGAATATCAAATGCAAATGGACTTTTGCCAAAGTTTGCTTCAACCATCTGACCAGGATATCGTAAACCTACCATCGGATAAAATCTGCATAAGGGAATATTTTTGAAAGCAATACCTAAAAAAAATATCATTTTATTATTATTTAAGTTTGGTTACATAAATTAAAATATTATTATTTTATTATATTTAATAACCTAGGTTTATTCCATTTTTCGTAAAAAAAACTGTTCGTGTGTAATAATCAATACAACAACCTATTATGTCCCCTTTTCCATAAGTTGTTGAATATGGTGTACCATAAAATTGTGAATGAAATAGATTTCCATCATCACCATGATATCCATAGGATCCTGGAAACCATCCTATACATTTTAAATGTCGAGATTACTAATGTCTGTTGTGTTGTTAATTATAATACTTAGAATTTCCTTTTTTTTTTTTTATGAAATGAACTAATTACCTGGTAGTTGTCTTACTGATGTTCTTGCCGTCCCAAATCCAACACCTATTTTCCTAAGAGAATGAATAATCTCTGTAAACATTATAAATGAATTAGAAATGTGAATGGAGTTTTCCAAACTATAACCAAACATATAAACAACCAGGTGTGGCTTATATATTTATTATAGTTTAAGAAAAGTACTCCCTAAAATTAATAAAGTAATAACAAATAACAACATAACAACATAATTATACCTTTCAAAACCATTATCACATCCATCTTCTATGATATAAATTTCAAAATATCCTACACCCATTGTAGGTCGAAATGGGCTACTAGTAATTAATGTTGCTGCATCATCATCGTTTAAACCAAGACCTATAGTAATTCAAAAATGATATCATTTCAAACTATCTTCATTCAAAATTTCTTAAAAAATTTGATTTTATTACGTAATACCATTATACATTATTTTTAAATTATCATCATAAATTGTTAATTGTCTTGACGCTTTGCTTCTGCTCCATCTTGCTGGAACGTCAAATTCATAATTGTTACTTGGTGAATACATTTTTTAAGTAAATTTAAAGGTCGCAGACCAAATTTATGCGTTAAACGCAATATTGGTAACAGTAGCGAAACAATGCATAATGATAAAGTCACATGAAACTGACTATCCCTTTATTTAATTGGGCCTGTAACGCAAACACCAAGAAAGGAAATCTAGCATAAAAATAAACAAAGAACGTGGAAGAATTATTATAGTTTACCTACGATATGTAACATTTAGCTTCTGATATTTTAATTAGTTCATCAAGGCCAATTTAAATATTTGTTTTGTGTTCTTTTTTTTTTATTACACACATTTAATGAGGTATTTTTCTTGAATTTCACGGTATGGAACATATAATTGCTATGTCCCATAACGTTATAAGTAGAAACGGAATTTACAGCTGCTTTCAAAAAGGTATGAACAACGATTTCAAGAATCGGTCAGTAAAAATTGAATGTCCGATTATAGCGGTTTGCAAAAAGGTGTGACCCCACGATTTTCGTGATAACGATAGTGGAGAATTTCGAAGATTCCAATTTCCCGCGATTTTACATTACACGATGATCTGCAGAGGCCACACCTTTTTGCAAACAGCAATAGCACTGACTTTGAAAATTCTGGAAATCTGGGAAGTTTCGTGAATTTTTCGATCTGTGTCTGCTCACACCTTTCTGAGAACAGCTATAAGTGAATTCGGAACTTTTATATAAAACCAGCGTCTTGATGTTGATTTTATCCTATGAATACCCTTATCATAACCCTAGTTTAACTAGGAAATTCCAAATCCACTTACAAAAAGATGTGGAAAACGATTTCCACATAAGAATTTGGTAATTGCGATTAGTAAAAATTAAAGATTCGATTTTTGCGGTTGTAAAAAGGCGTGACCTCTGCAGATCAAAAATCGCGGAAAATTAGACGATTTTTCGATTTTAAGAGAATTATACAGATTTCAAAGTATATAGAGATACAGATACATCACTGATTTGAGTATATAACGGACTTTATTGTTTTTTGCCGATCATTTTTTCATAATAAAAGTAACGATTTTCCGTCACAAGAATGAAGGTAAGACAAAAAAAAAAATAACGCCTTTATAAACTGCCAAAGTAATTCGGTAATTCACGAAGTAATTCGGAAGGTATGTCTGAACATTTAAATTTAGCCAATAAGTTATAAATATAATATAATATAAAAATCTATTAAGTTTAGTAACTTGTTTCTGAATAAGTTGTTTTCGCTAATTTATTTTGGTTTATTTATACTTGTCGCCGGCGGTGACAGTACCCGGATTTATTTAAATTTATAATTAGAGTTAGAAAGGGTCATAATATATAGTAAAATTATACCAGGAACATTTTTTGTTAAAACATAGAAATTGGGTTCATAGACATAATTTTGAGTCATTTGATTTGAAATTGGAGGTTTTTGAATCGTGCGACAAATAGATTCGTCCTTATTTATAATCCCAAGACAGGTACCGCCAGTAACATATTTTAATGAAATAATTTAGTAACAAGCCTTCACGTATGTATTTAATAAAGCTTTGATTTATAGGATCTTGTTTGTGCTAAGCTTATGGTCTTAGATTCTTAATTGAGAGATATCATAGTAATGTTTTATTAAAGCGAGCATGATTAACTATCCATTTAATTGGCTGAAAATGTGATCTTATTTAATTGGTCAAAAATAAAATTGGCTTATATTATGTATAAGTATGCTCAACTTATACATATAATATCTCTTTAACAGGTTTATGTTTGAAGCAGAACACAAATTGTGACATAACTTTTTCTGATATTTTTTACCAATTTTTTATTAAACTGGATTTAATATCTGTAACTAGAGGTAGTAATTATAGTAAAAATTCAGTTATGATATAAGAAAGTGTTAAAATTTAAACGATCAGAAATTTTTGACTATTAAAATATTATGTCAGAATTGTTCTTAATTTATTAGAATATTTATTATTTTATAGTAGATTTTATAGTCTGTTTAAAATGCTTTTTTTATATATATATTTATGTATTAAAAAATTTAAAACTAGACTTTTATGTATAAATATATATGTGCATTTTTTATATGTACTTAATGTAAAGTGTTTGTAATTTTATAGATTGTAGAACATATACACTGTACAACAAATTATAATTAATTGTGTAAGTTTAAAATTATATAGTAAATTCATCAAATATAATAAATTTTAAACACTTTTAGAGTTGATAGCATAGTAGTTATGCTTTGAGGTCACAAATCACAAGGCTGCTGATTCAAATTCTAGTGACAGCAATTGTAGAAATGTATTTCTAAATAGGAAATTGCAACATCATCATAAGATCAGAAATCCAGAAAGTCAATAGATAAACTTATTTTTAAAAATGGCAAGTGACCTGCAGTTGAAAAGCCACATTGTGAAAAACATGAATTAGTCTGATTTGGAATAACTGAAGTTATGAAACATAATATGAAGCTGAAAGTCTAACACTTATAGATATTATATGAACTTATAGCAACAGCTAATTCTTAACAGAGCCTGGTAAAACCTTCTGATTCTAGCAAGAATCAGTGTGACAAATTGCTTCTGAAAAGTTTAAAAGTACAGATTGGGAAAGGTTAAGGTTCAGTAACTCTTAATATTAAGAACATTGTTTAGAAATATGTACAGACATTAAAGATCTTAGTAAGATTAAAAAAAAAAAATAAAAAAATAAATTTTAAAAAACTTTTATAATAAAATATTAAAAATTAAAATTAATTATAGTTTTCATTTTATCTATAATTATAATAAAAGGTTTAAAGATTTTAGAAGTTTTACTAATTTTTTTTAAATATTAAAATGAGTACTTGCAACTTAAAATTTTATTAATAGTATATTTAGTTAATAGTTGTATAACAACTATAGAGACAATTATGAAAAAAATATGTAACTAGTTACTTGTACAATTTTAATTATTGTTAATTTAAGTAGTTTATTTAAAGGTTTTATACTAGTTGTCATATCAAGAATCTGCTTATAAGTTTTTTATTTAACTATTCTAGTTTTTATATTTACCTATCTACTTATATTTATCAACTGTTACTAGCTAATAATAATGCAAATATATTATAGTTACTAAGTCTTTAAACCAGTTTATTTATATAAAAAACTTTTAATTTTGTACTAAATTTTTTAAAACTTTTTATATTTTATTTTTATAGCTAATATGATAATATTATAATTAACTTCAATACTTGCAGATAGAGCTAATTATTAAACAACTATGTTTTTATTTTTTTATTTTTTTTTTGATATTAAGATGACCTTTTTGGTCTTTTGACTTTTATTAATTACTTATTGATATTGTGATTTAATGAACCACTATAGGAGAAAGTACAATTGGCTATATATGTAACTTTTCTATATTACCTATTTAAGGAGTTCACCTAAAGATTCTCTACCAATTGCCATACTTAACACCACTGCTTGGGTATTTCACTTTAAACCCTCTGAATCTGTAACCTGTATTAACTTACTGAGTTATATCCAAATGCCCAGATCATCATCTTAACCTTAGGACTAATTTATCCTTAAGGTAAACCCACCAAAGCCTTTTGTATCTATTTTTACAGCTGATCTAAGTATTGCTATGACAGAATTAACACTTGCAGTCAGGACTAACTATTAAACTACTATGCCCTTGTAGAGTTTACTTAGACCCTAGCATCTACTTCATAGTATAACCCCAGTACTTTAGTATACCTTTGCCTTTTCATCTGCCTTTTTACCAAACTTCCAATTCAGATAGTCCATATAGAACTATAACCAGTTTATCAGTATATTGAGTTAGCCTAATATTCTTTTTCTTTAGTTTGTTCTAGTGACCTGGTTGGTAGTACTTCTAAGCTCTCAACTCAAAGGTTTTTGCCTATTTGGCTACTATGACCAAGTACTATAATCTTGGTATCCATTTTCTTGGGCTAGCCTTTACAGTATAACCATCGAAGATCCAGCTACCTCTCTACTTAGGTCTTTCCAAATAGACTTCTTGTTATTCAATTTCAATAGATTTACATAGCCACAAGGACTTATTGAGTGTTTGCACTATCTGATTTATCAGTTTGCATTCCTTTGTATAATGCTATACTTATACAGATGCTCCATAACCTGCTAGTTATGCTAGTGCAACTACCATTACAGATATTCTAATCCAATTATTAGCAACAATTGCCATAATACAAATATTACATAGGTGATTATCCAAATTTTTATATCAATGAAATTTGAACATCCAACCTACCACTTGGAAGGTTGACAACCTGACCACTTCACTAGGTCATTATATCCACAACTATGTTTTTATAAAGTTTATATCAACTTTAATACTTATTTCATAATATATTCTTTTTTTTTGCTTTTACTAAGATTATAACTATTGGTGGTTACTGTCTTTATTGTAATTATAATTACATAACTTGTAAAGGTAAGTGTACAACTAGGCACATATACAGCTTTTGGTTATCTATTTAAATAGTTTATCTACAGCTTTTATACTAACTGTTATATTTGTAATTTGTTAGAAGATTACTTAATTAAATATTCTAATTTCTATACTATATCTAACAGATAGCACACAAGTTTCTATATACTTAAGTGTTATCTAACTTAATTTTAATTTTTTTGTTTGTGTGTTTGTTAAGCTGTTATATATTTCAAAGTATATTACTTAACTATAAGACTTTAAAAAAGTTCTTTGCTAATTAACTACTCATATTTAGTTCTTATTAACAAAGCTTACTTTTGCAGAATTTACCTAAACTCTAGTACTGACTTTATAACATATCTCTAGTACTTATAGTATATATCTGCTTTGTTATTAAACTTCTAATTCAGATAGTCCAAAATGACTATGATCTGTTTCTAATATATTGAGATTATGATATTTGATAACTTTTTCCTCTAGTTTGAGACTTTTAGTATTCTGGTTAATGATATTTTTTATCTAAAATTCTTGTCTACTTAATTACTTCACATTAGTATT